GAGACTTCTTCTAGTTTTATGTACAAATTGGTCAGTAAAGTATCTCTGAACACTGAAAGAAGTAACGTTATTTTATTATATCACAACTGCCTTCATGTCAGAGTATCTAGAAATAAGCTGTTTGTGTTGAGACTGTTGCTTTGTGTCGTCTCTCAGCGGTTTCTTGCGGAGCGACAAGCCGATCGGGACGGCCCTCGTGAAGCTGGACAAACTAGATTCACAGAGCGAAATCAGGGAGATCGTAGAGGTGAGTCGATCGAACACACAACTCCATAAAACAAAGCTGACTCAGAGACATACACTGTGAATCGTGGAGGCTCAACAGTCGTGTCTCTCCTGTCAGGTGATGGACGGTCGGAAGCCCACAGGAGGTCGCGTCGAGGTGAAGATCCGCCTGCGGGAGCCTGTGAGCGGACAGGACATGCAGACGAGCACCGAGCGCTGGCTGGTGATCGACCAGTCGAAGGTAACATTAAATACAGAGTTATTATCGAACCTGAGAGTGTGTGAAACTTCTGATGTTGTTTCTTTTTAATCTTTTAAGGTTCTCGTTTAGAAGCTGCTGCAAGAAACTTCTCAATATAAAGGTAATTTTAAATGTAACTCCATTATATTTGTTATTTATATACAATTATTTTAACTTTCTTGCTGAGAGGATGAGACGATTGATGTCAGTCTCATGTCTGTATATTAAATATAAAACTACAGCCAGCAGTTGGTTAACTAAGACTTGTCTGGCTCTGATCAAAGTAACAGAATTCACCTACTGGTGCTTTAAAGCTGACTAATTAACACATTATAGCTTGTTTGTTAAATCAATACAAATCATTAATTATAAAATAACTATTTGTGATCTGACTTTCTGTCACGTTAGGGGGGTCAGCTTCAGTTTTGTTACGATTTTAAAAAATGGGAATTACAACAGTGGGATTTTTACTGATTATTTTTAAATATAAAAACATTTAAAAGATCTGAAATAAAAAATAGTAATAAATAAACGAAATGAATTCTTCTTCTTGCCTGTTTTTTTGCAAGTCGATCCGTATTTCTTTCCGCCAAGTTTATCCTAATTCAGAATAAAGATGACGCTAAAATAAAACATGCATTTATATAAGGATATATATGAAAATATCAAATTAATAACATTATATTCAGTGTCTGAATGCACCTAATGGCACACGAGATAGAAGCCTCATGGTTAGATTTCTTCTTTCTCGATCTTAAATGTGATTTTGCATAACAAGGGTCTCCTCTTGTTTCGCAGATTAAATGGCTCCCAATCAGAAACACCTGGGAGGAGGCAAGAACGAGGTTGTTCTACAGACTGAACTCAGACCAACACGGGTCTATTGACTTGTTTTTAAAAAAAAAAAAAAAAAAGAACTTCTTTGCACACTTGCAAGACACCAGAGCTCCCTTTCACACTCGCAGTCCACCAGGAGGAGACATGGAGCTGGTTTACGGTAGGTCAGCTGGTCTGTGGCTCACTGACATGAAGTCTCTCCATCCTGAGCGACCGATGACACCAGCTGACGGACAAATCGAGGAGGGAGGGAGGGAGGAAAGGGAGGAAAGGGGAGGGTTGTCGTCTCTTTTGAGTCATCACTGATGAATCGCACAGATAAAAAGCTCAGGAGGAAGCAGGCAGACGACGGTTCATCCTCCTGGAGGACGGCAGAAGGGGAGCTCAGTGTCGAGCTAACCTGATCCTGCTGCCCCCGATATGACTCTAGTTAATATATATATCAAAGAATGTGTACATATTTCTTTCATATTATACAGCTCTGGTATCTAGAACTGCACCTATGCACTAATACCAAAGTAATCACAGTTGCTGTAAGATCCTGCGTTTATTTGAAAATCTGCCTTTTGTCTGCCAAAACCTGTTCGTGTGTGACGGGACACGAGCTGGTTTTTGTTTTCGTTTTCACACACAATTCACCTGGTTTTGGGAAGGCGAGCAGATGCGGCCCCCTCACACACGTTTCACAGGAGAAAAGCCAAGAAATGATGATGTTATCGAAGGTACGATTATATAATTATTGTTATTACACTCCCAGTTTGAATAGTCCTCCGAGCTAACTGTGGTCACTAAACTGCACTCTCATCTGCGGCTTTTAGTTGTTAGATTTATATTTGTCTTGTTTACACTCGATTGCACAACTGAGCTGAGTTTAACGGATCTTTAATTGTAAAGAGTGAGTCTATGAAGCTAAATATTAGTTTAATATTAAAGGCAAACATACATTATGACATTATGAGATGGTTAAAGAGTCAGATGATGACTAAACTTCCTCCTGTACGTATTTTAGTTAAAAGAACATTTCTAAACCTTTTGGGAAATACACTTTTCTTTTCCTTGAAGAGAGTTAGACGATAGATCGATACCACAGGACATAAATATGAGGAAACGGTTAGCCTAGTTTTAAAATTACACTCTTCTAAAGATCACTAATTAACATCGGTTGTATTATTTTTAATCTGCACACAAGCAGAAATGTAAAAACTGAACACTTGTGGTTTCAGAGGGAGAAACATGCTGTAAATATTAGTTGGTTATTAGCGACCAGAAGCTCCAGAAGAGCTATTTTAAAGAGCCACGCTCGCTGTTTCCACTCTGCTTCCAGTCTGTATGCTAAGTATGCTCCGTGGTTTACAAAGGAACGCAGAAGTAATAAAAAAATACTGCAGTTCCTCAAACGACCACTTGAGGCTGGCTCCAACGTTACAGCAGAAATAAACACGTTTACAGTTTTGGTCTTTATAACAACCGTATGGGGGTGAATTAGTGTTTTAACTCACATGTTTGAATTATATTAAGGCTTAAAGTGTTTGTTTCCTGTAACCAGGCTTCATTCGGGCCCGTTTTGAAATTAGCCGGTGGCCGGCTGAGTCCGACCGGAGCCAGTCGACCACACCGAGCTCCAGTTTCATATTTTAACCTCAAACAAGAGGAAGTGGTGAAGATCTTCTCATCGACCTCTCGACAGGAAAGCCAATAAGTTTATTCCTCAAAGCTCTTCCTTTTAAATGGAACGACTTTTCCAACTATGCAGCGGATCCTGAACATTTGGATGATTTTAAGCAGCCAGTTCACCCAGATTACAGAAAGCTTTTCTTGGTTTTATTTGCGGTCGGATTATATAGAATTTGTTTGTGCTTCTTAAAGGAAATCACAACTGGAAAAAAGTTGTTTTTTGAAGGACAAATAATTAATTTACAATCTGAACTTGAAGCTAACGCGGACAAGAAGTCCTTAAAGTGCCTCTTAAAGAAAGACTACGTTTCTAAGACGAGTGGAAACGGCTACTAAATGGACATTATGGTGAGATTGATCTTTTCCTAAACGTCCGATTTAAGTAGTTTGATTGGAGCAGCTTTCTACTGACGATCGGTTTGAGTTCTTAAAGAGAAACCAACGTTGTTTTTGAGTGAACTGACCTGCAGCATCGTCTCAAATGCTGCACAAGAAGAAGAAGCCATAACAAACCTACTGAGCCAACTACATATGTTTCCATTAGCAACAGCTTTACCTCAACGCCGTCTGCAACGTTATTCAGTTGCCAAATGTTACTGTGGTCACAACATTTCTCTTTCAGCATCAATGTAACGCACACATGACGTTCAGTTTAATGACAAACGTTGGCCTGATCGATTAAAACTGTTAAAATTTCATCGTCTGTGGAAACATTTTCATCACCTACTTGTTTACAAAGATGAATGATGTCGTGTTTATATTTACTAAATGCTACAAAAACAGAATCAAGGTCATATTTTGTTTTTAATTGTGGACTGAATTTTCCGACCCTGCTTAAAAAATTTACCGATTAAAAAAAAATACCTTTTAATTTTGCATTGTGATGGTTTTTTTTTTTAAGTTTCTTCCAGTAAAACAATAATTTAAATGTTTGTTGAAGGACTGAAGGCAAAAACATTTCAATTTTCTATAAGTTTTTATTTTACATATACTACAGTTTTTTGTTAAAGACCACTTTTCTTGACATTTGTAGTGTAAAGAAAAACAAAAGATGTACAGGGTTTTTGGCTTTTCAAACATTTTTGACTAATGTTTATTAAAAAAAACAAACAAAAACAAAAACAAAACCCAGTCAATGAAAGAACTGAATGAGTGGAATATTTGTTTTTTTTAGTTTCATCCACAAACTAGAAGATATAACCGTTAAAATGCAAAAGTTGATTTGCTCTCGTCACCGTTTTCAAGCTTGTTTCTGTTTGCATGCAGTGTTTATAGTTTGGATAATAACATCTTACAACTCAATACAAAAACAAAAAAATGCTACTTTTTCAAACAAATTGCACCTTTTCTCCATTTTATTTTCTTTCTTTTAAGTTTTTTTTGGATCGAGGACATATTGCACACATCAGATAATGCCAAAATAAAATGTAACAGAAAAAACAAAGTCAGAAAAATAAATCCTCGTGTCTCCTCTTCATTATGCTAATGTATAAAAACAGAACTGCCGGCGGCTGATGAACGTCACACAGTGAAGACACAGTGATTGAGATACACCAACTCTGGTATGATCACAGTAATAAAACCCAGAACTGGTGACCCTTGACCTCTCATTCAGTCTTTTACTGAACATGTTTAAATCAGCTTCGCTAACATTACGTTGCTACAGTAGCTCCTAAAACACTTCAGATTGAGTAAATGAACGAATACAGAGTAGCTACGGGTCTAATTTAAACTCGTCGAAGCGTCGGCTCTTCTGCAGATTTTTCACGTGATTGTCTGATTGTGATGACGAGATTGTTTTTCTCCTCCTCTCGGTACCGTGGGAACAGTACTTGTGTGTGTAGCCCCTTCTGGTTTTTAATATTAGCATGATTAAAAGATGGAGAAGTTGCCATAATGCAGAATGATTACTGTACAGAGCATTTCTATGACAGGACACGGTGGTTTTTGGTGATTAGTCTAGCCAGAAACAAATAAAAAAACAAACACACTTTGCAGAGTTTGAACACAAACAGGAGGAATACATTCTTATATTTATTTTCCAGGTCCATGTTGCCGAAGGAGAGCACAGTGAGGGGAGGGGGCTGCAGCGATCCTGTTTATAGATACACAAACAGTTGAGGCCTTTGAAGACGACACATCGGCGGTCTACAGGGTTCCTACGCGGGTCTGCAAAGTCTGGAGCGGGATGTTCCTGATTTCAGGGCTTTCGGGGGGGGGGGGCGATAAAGTTGCGGGGGGGAAACGTGAGATGGAATACATTCAGCTTCAGGTCGATCAAACTCTTAGTTTCTGCAGGAACCCTGGATCTTTACAAACGTCTTCCGGGGACACAGTGGCCGCCCCGACGCTCGCCGTCACTCTCCTGTAAATGGCTTAGAATCCAGTGCACTGCTTCTGCAATTTAATACAGGTCTTATATATTCACACACACATATATACATATATATATATACTGTTTATATATATGTACTGTTTATATATATATATATATATCTCTATATCTTTACATCTTCAACAGTTATTCTCTTTGTATGATTAAAAAGACCAAAATAACTCGAGTGGCTTTTCCAACCACTGCTGGACGAACGAGTGCCGATGAAGATGATCGATGAAGATTAAAAACTTCCCTCTTCTGCTTTTTCAGCTTTATGTACAGATTGTTTTGAGTTTATCAATAAAGCATTGGAACCTTTTTTTTTTTAATCTTTCAGTCTTCTGTTAACACGTGATGTTATTTCACAGAGCGTCAGTCGGGTGGGGGGGTGATTCTGTCTTTAACTGGGATCTCTGGAGGCTACAGATGCAGAGTTATAATGGAGGAGAAGTTGTTACGCCTACAAAAATATGTACACAGGTCAGTGTTATTCGTCCGTGAAGTAAAGCATCTGGTGATTGATGAGTAAAGCTTAAAGAGGTGAAGCTGAAATGTTTGTTTTCTCGATGAGTCGCTGCTGCAGGCACTGAGCACCACGGTGCAAAAACAAAACCCAACTGAACCAAAACCAGAAAAAGAAATCACCACACAGACGCTTCCAACTCCTCATCTGATGATTTGTAGCTTTCCTTTTTTTTTTTTAACTTCAGAGGAAGAGTCCAGACTTTCCAGCAGTGGATACGAGTCTCCCTTGTGTAAGAGCAACCGTGCTACACGGAGGCCTTTGCAGATATTATTTCAGTGCTTCAGGACCTCCGGCTGCCACAGTGACTTTGGAGTGACGGGCGATGAGGAACCCGAGGAGCTACATCCAGCGTCTGCCAACAGGCTTCACCCTCTGCTGGAGGAATTCACGTTGTATTGTTGTACAGCGCTGAATCAAAGCAGGTTTAAAGTTAGTTTACGCTCTCCTGTTCCTCGTGGGTCTAAAGCAGCGGTTCTCAACCTGCGGTCCTTCAGGAGGTTCACTG